CTTTCAAGCGCCCCTCGCCCTCCCCGGCCCGGCCCGAGCCCGAGAGGAGCGTGTGCCGGACACGCCGGACCGCCGAGAGCCTACTGTACCTCAGTGGATTGTTTTTCATGGTTTGTTATGGTTATTATTATAAGATAAGTAAAAAAAACCTGCTGTTGCTGCACAAATGTGGAGACGGGACTGCAGACTGAAACAGATTCAAGGACAAACCCCTCCCTTTCCAGTTTGCAGAACCTGTTCTTTTTTTTTTTTTTTACTTTTTTATGTTCTGAATGAAAAAAATGAGAAACGTAAACCTAAAGGACTCTTTTAGTCGAGCCCGAGCTGTGGGCTCCTTGTGACTTCTGATGTATGAATTTTTTTGGGAGACTTTCATATGGGACACTTAAGCATATCTGCCAGCGAATCCGACAGAAAAGCACTTTTTTTCCCAAGCAGTTGAGCGATAAGGTTTTTTTTTAAAGTCGGATCTCCTCCCACTTCGTTCTCGACCTCTCGTTTCTCTCTTCCTCTCTCTTCTCCAGCGGCGCCGCACGCGCCGGGCGTTTGGATGTTTGCTGGGGGTGGGGAAGTGGAGGAGAGGGGCGGGTCTTGACGTGACAGCTCCCCCTTGTCCTTCCTTCCCAAGCCTGTGTTCCTCGCCGTGGGCCATCCGATCGGACACTGCCCTTGCTATTCTGGTTGGTCGGGGGCAAGAAAGAGCGTGGGGAGGGACTTTTTCTGAATCTGCCAAATTTTTGCCAAAATTGAACTTTCCTGAAACGCTACTCTAACTTCTCCCCTCCTTTCTCCAGCTGTCCTCTCTCGGTGTGAGATAGGAGGAGCGCTAAGGCTAGAAGTTGGACACACTCCACGGATTTGCACTGTTGTAAATTATTCGAGCCCCCCACAACCCCACGATTGCAGTCGACACAATAAAGGGGTTCACCCTCTCTTTTTCCCTCCTGCTCTCGGTTTTGATGTTTTTTTCAGCTCGGCTCATCCAGCAGGTTTTTCCCTTTTTTTTTTTTGCCGGAAGAGGAGGAAAACAAAGCAAACAAATGGTGGGGGGAGGGAGGGGAGGATTTCCCAGAATGAAACGGGGAAGGGATCGGATCGGCACGGAAATGGAACGGAGCTTCGACCTCGTACTCTAAAGGCAGAATGGGAGTGTGATGCTCTGGATCTTTTCCAGACTTGTCAGTAGTCTCTCAGTACAATTCAGAAATTTCTATAAGGGTCTTACAGTTGTATGTTAGACCGTGGATCACCTACGTTACACACCGTTTGTCACTTTTATAACTTTTTTACGGTTCAGATGTTCATCTATATGTCTGTACAGAAAAAAGCTGCTATATTCTTTTTTCCCTTCGTGGATCTATATCTATATCTATATATTAAAAAAAATCTTTCAGGTTTAATCTCTTACTGTTTCCACTACAGCCCATTTTTTCTTATGCTTTATACTGTAGCAAAAAAAAAAGATTGTTTTTTATTTGAAACTGCATTAGTTGTATTTTTCTTTCCACCTTGATCCTGATAAACTCTCTTATTTTGTCACACAATGTCCAATGCCTTCAATTTTTTTTTTACAAATGCATTTTTTTCTTCTTTTTTTGGGGGGGGGGTTAGAATGCTACTTATTGTTTTCTTCTGGACACCTTAGCCCTGCGTGTGGACTCCCTTTGTACCCGTGGTCAAGTGTTGCTGCGTCTGGTTGTTACCTGGGCGCCGCTCAAACTCAGGTCAAGATAATGGATTTGCTTTCTCCCTGCAGTCTCCTGTAGTGTGCTTGTCGTTTTTTTGCCCCCTCGACACAATCTCCCGGCCTCCCTGTCGGCACCAGGTCGCTTGCCTCCGCTGCTGGTTACCACACTGGAGGGGTTGTAGTCAAGTTTTTTTTTTTTTAAACCCATTCTTCCTGCAGTTAAGAGGTCTGTGGTGAATTTTCGCACTACCCCAGTCTGCCCCCTTTTTTAAAAAGTTTGTACAGGTATCCGGGGTTATTCCCAGCTCCAAACATCTCCAAACATCCACCCCGCCCTCCAGAACAGCAGCTCTGTGGCATCTGCGCTTTTGACACCCTGTAGGAAGAGATAGCAAGCACCTGTGGCACAGGAGAGGCTTTTCAACACCAGGACCCTAAACAGGGCAAACCGACGAGCCCATGCCCCAGCCAGTGTGAGCGATTTACGCCTTACCTGGAGAAGTAGTTCTGAGTTCAAAACTGGGGGAAAAGAAAGTTATTGCTCCTTAAAGATGAAAGTGTTAAAGTATTGACGTGTTTTTGCTGAGAGTTCAGTGTGTAATGCCCTTTTTGTCTAGTTTTCAGGCATCTGTTACTTAGTGTTGCTAAGAAGGTATTCTGTGTAGGATCTTTCTATTTTCCGATATCAGTTTAACTCACTGTACAAATGCCCCACAATGAATTCTGATAATGATTTTTTTTGTTACTTCTAGAAGTATTTTCGTTAGTTTCTTGACCTGGGGGATGTTTTTTTCCATTAAACATTTATCTACCTCACTCTTTTTTTTATATAAGTGTATAAAAATACATCTCACTCTTTTTTTTTCTCATTAGCCTGTAAAGAAAATGTTACTGTTCTCTCTATCCGGGTAAACCTAATTTAACACTCCAAACCACAAGAGTCGCTCAAACGGTTCGGAGCTGGGAGGAGAGGAGTCTCGCGATGGGGAGGTCTGGCATTTGTGAGGAAACGTGCGTTTTCTGTTGTGATTGAGAGAGTCCTCATGCAGAACACCCCTCGGATTGTTTTTCCTGTTTTGTGATCTGATTTGTCACTTACTGCAGCTTCAGGGGCTTGAGGAGTTTTCCCAGAGTCGTTGGCGTGACCCTCTGCATTATATAATTTGTCATCCACTGCTTTTAGACACCCGAGTGATTGCTGACCCCAGGCCAGACAGGTGTCTCTCCGAGGTCGAGGGAGTGCTGATCGTGCCGATCTCTGCGTTTCTGCTCCACACCTCCTCCATCCACAGGCCCCCTCCTCTCTGCTCCTTCGCACATATTGGTTTTCCACAACCAGAGATCCTCAGATCATAACGCTGGTTATGGGGGTTTTGCTAAAACTGTATTTTTTTTATTTTATGTACCTTGGTTTTTTTTCTTTGTTATTGTGTGTAGATGACTTTAAAAGCCGATTCACAAAATAATACAAAAATAAATTCAGGATGCCGCCGGTGATTTTGATCATCCTTCCATCTCTCGAGGTTGCGCTGTCAGGGCGTCATGGTCACGGTGACCATGGCAACAGGCTGCAGCTGGCGAAGCCCCAGCTTTGGGAAGCTAAACCCTCGATGACTGGCATCCCTGAAGGCACAGGGCACTGCTGATGGGGATCATTGCTATGGTGTTGGTCCTGCCGCTGTGCGATAGCTGTCTCCCTTGTGTTTCACTAAAGCCATCAAATCTGAAGAGCCGCAGGCAGCAACCATGACTTCTGTAGCTTGGCAGGAGCGACAGGGCTCCTGACTGGAGGGCCGGGGGTCCCGCTGTCGCCCCCTTGAGTGAGCTCCTTCCCTGCAGCTGCTCCAGTATGGCGCCTTGCTGAACAAGCGAGTAGAAGCATCAGCCGCGTTAATAGTAATGAGACAATGCAACAAGAACCCGTCTTCATTTTGGCGGGAGTGTTGTGTGAAAGCAGGGTGCGGGTCCTGAGCAGCAGCACACGTGCCTTGACTGGGTGTGCTAGGGACCTGGCAGACCGCGTGGTCTAACCGGGCGCCTGGGCGTCGGCCGGCAGTCTCGAGGAGTCTCTTGGCACACGGGCGATCGGCCTGCGGCAGGGCTGGGGGGAGGGGGCGCTGGGTGGAGTGGGGGGGATACCTGTGCCACTTTACTGCTAGCCCACGTTCTCTTGCTCTGCCTCAAGCAGAATCTGGTGCCGGCAAGCCTCCTTTCTTGGGCACAGCCGGGCAGCGATCCGGCCGCCGCTGCTCCAGGGAGCGAAGCTCCTTCGATATCAGGCTTGGTCTTTCTTCCTTCTGCCTCCTCCTCCACCACCTACCACTGTCTGCATTTCGGGCAGGTTCCTCGAAACGTGCCCGCGCTCCAAGATACGGCTCATTCTGCCTCCCTCCCTTCCCACACTCCCAGATGGTTTGGGGGACGCTCGGTCCAAAAAATGCCAAAAGTTTTTTTTTTCTCTACTGTTTTTGTTGGTGGTGAAGTTTCCTGAAGTAATGCAATTTCAAGTTCTGCGTATTTTTCTCAGGGCTCCACAGCCTCTTCATCAGCTTCTCCAGGGGAAGGGGGGGGTTGGGAGGGGGGGGGCAAGAGTCACTTCATGCTTCTTCTTTGTCTCCTTCTGTTTTCTCCACTACTGCTGCTGATACAGTGTTGCTGCTTTGAAAGTTCTGTGATGCTGAGGGCCCGGTCGTCGTGACGACCTGAGAGGGGTGAAGGTGATGGCGTCAACACCAACATGTCCAAAGAATAAAGCACTTCCCCGCCGAGATCTGCGGGGCAGGGCTGTCGGGCGGAGAGCACGTCCTGATATGGTAGAGCAAAGGGTCTGGGTGGTGGTATAAGACAAAGGGAGCACTTGGGAGAGAAGCTGTCCTCATGATGTCCTCATTCAAACCAGAGATGTTCAAGATACAGAACTCAAACGGGGGTTTCCGAGCTGAGGGGGGGCAGACTGGGGGGGTTGTGGAGAGGAACGAAAAGTTTGTGGTCCAAGTTTGTGGAATTCCAGGTGTTCAGAATAAAAAGCACTTAAATAATACTGTTTTGTATAAGAATGAGCTCCTGGGATTGCTGGGTGAGGAAAGCAATGGAAATTTGGTTGTTGCTATAGTGGCACTCTGCTGAAAAGATTTTTTTTGTGTGTGGTACTTGTAACATAAAAATTGTAGGTTATCACCATTCTACCAAGGCCTTGTACTCGTGTTGTTGTGTGTGTTTATGGGTGCGAGTGTATCACAGTTAGGTGTAGTCTATCAAGATTTAATGTTTTTATAAGTACAAAAATAGATATTGGTTCTATTTATTCTATTTTGTTTCTAATTCACAGTGATAAATCTGAGATAAATATTGGCCTGTTGAAACATGAATGTCAGTTTACATTGAATGCTGCCAGGTTTTTTCTTTCTATGTAGTTTCACACGCTCACTGCTACACACACGTGCGTACACACCAACAGAAACAGGACATGAAATGTCCAGTAGATTACGGGTAGTCACGTGACAGAAAAAAAATACAAATAGCAGAGAAGTTTACAAAAACGTTTTGTGATTTTAGCATTTGTCTGTAGTACATTGCATCGCCAGTTTTTATTGAAACCCTGGAGATGCATTCTCTCTATTAACATTTAGACTTTCCACAGAAAGATGTATATGCAAACCTCAGGCTAGAAAAGTCAGAACACACACAATCACAATAATCAATATGAGGTTTATAGATTTAATTTCCAGGCACTGTTTTTTTTTTTTGCATTTCGCTTGGCATTCCTACATGCTAAAAAAGGGGGCCTTGATCTACTGAAATTTTGTTTGTATTTTTACCTTACCAAAGCCTTTAGCTCAGTGTCACTAAATTGAAACAAACTGTAGGTTCCAATCATTCATCCGTTACTTTGGAAAGTTCTGTATCTGGAGACTCCTGGTTTTTCTCACTAAACACCCCTAGTTCAAACGGGATCATCTTAATGTCATTTCGCTTACTGTATATCCGCAGACACTTTGATGTTTTTTTCTTCAATGTTTTTGTAAGTGAGGAGGAATCCCTAAATGTTAAAGCTGGTTACTTACGGGCACCTGTTGATGAAGGAGCCAGGCTGTTGCCGATGGGAACATCCCGTCGGAGCGCTGTAGAGCCCAGCCTTGCGCTTGCCAAACAGCAGGATTTTGGAAAATGCAGCACATTGGTATACAAGGGAAGACTCACATAATCCAATTGGATATCTACTCCCTTCCCCCCTCCTCTCCCAGGGCCAATGTATTTTTTGAGTAGTGGGGGGGCAGGGAGGGACATATTCTGTGGATGTATTTCAGTTTGATTTTTGTGCTGTACAGTTGCATCCCACAGCTCAGTCTTGTGTTTAAGTGAGTACTGCTCATCAGCAGGACACACAAGGTGTGGGTCATGGTCCCAGTGCTCGGCTACAGGTGTCTGTAAAGGCCACAGTTTTTTTTGTAAATATACTGTAATCTCTTGTAAGGTAAAGCAACAAAAGGCATTTTTGGTGTTGAAAACTAGAGTTGACCAGAGAATTACCCTCTGGGACAGGACAGCTTTGGGAACCAGTGGTAAAATTGGGGGAGATGTCCTGCACAGATCTGGTACTTAAGGAAGGAGGACAAAAGAAGTGAGTGAGAGAAGAAATAAACCTGGGGAAGAAAGAGTTTCCCACAAAACTGAAGATAAAACAATTCAGTGAGCACCTTTTCATGTAGTTTATCAGCAGAATTTCTTGAAATCTCACAATGCAGCTGATGCTTCATCCAATAATTTTGGAAAAAGTTGAGAAAGATGGGAGCTGCATCTCTGAAGTATCATGAAAATGTGGGATATTTGGTAATTTAAGGATAAAATCAAGAGGGTGGGATCCAGAAGCTACTTTTCCCTGTAGTCCTGCAGGCTACTGAAAAAGCCTGGCAAGTAATCTCTAACTCAACCTTAATGGACTAGTTAGAAAGAGCCCTGATTGCGCACCCCAAGTTAGTACGGCTAGACTCAAGAAATGAGACTTTAGCAGGCAGCAGTAGTTGACCGCAGTAGGTGTCCATATTGTTGGCAGATCTTCCTGAATGCCAAGGACAAGCCTCAATGAAGGTGGCTCTTTGTGAATTCTTCCAAAACGGTTTTCAGCTCAGAAGGCACTTTCTTGTTGCTTGTGCTTCCCTGTGGGAACCTCCAGCATTTCGGCTCTTTACGTGAGCAACAGCTCCAGTGTCTTGGCCTCTCAAAATACAGGCATTTCGTCCATGGAGGCTCATGGACTTGCAGGACAGTTGCACTGGTGGCGACAGTGTGGAAAAGAGGCCATTGGTCATGTCGCCAGTGCACTTCCCCATTTCATTTCCACAAACGCCGAGTTCTGGCCTAGCAGGGTGCCAGGGGTCTGCGGCCCACAGCATGAGAGTAGTCTGGGGTGGCTCCCTCTTCAGCACCAAAGCTCCCGTTAGGAGCTGTGTCCAAAGCAAGATTCTCCACTCTCCGGATTAAGCACTGGTCCTCGTGCAGGTTTGAAGTTCTGTTTGTCCCTTCAGGCGCAATCGGCAATTTCGTGTGCTTCAATTTTACCACTGGGAAGCCTCATAAAACTGACATTGAAAACTACATTTTTTCAAGTTTTTTTTTCCTGTCTTGTTAAGAAAATTAAGAAGATGGCCAATTTGTTACAAAGAATTTGCTGTGTGTAAATTATTCATACGAAATTCCTGTGTTTATATTAAAATGATTCAGTAGATTGAAAAAAGTTTCAAATGTTTTTTTGTATATTCTGTTGTAAGAATTTATTCCTGTTATCAATATATTCTGAATTCTTTACATTATGGGGAAAAAACTTTTGTCTATTTTGAATGGCTGAAACAAAAGAGGATTTTAGTTTCTCTTATTCTGGCTTTTTTTCTAGTAGTTAAAGTACTACAAGATCTAAGTTAAATAAAAACAAATTCTGTATGCAAAGACAACTGTCATGAGTTTTATATTTGTCTGATCTTAACTGCTTGTGTTGTTGAGAATTTCTCACACGTCCTTCATTACTTTAGTAATGAATCTCAGCACATTCCTTTTGTGTGCTTGTCTGGGTTGCTCTGTGTACTATGGGTGTAACGCACTGTCTGGGGAGAGTTCAGAAGTCTGTGCTAATACATGACATCTTCCTTGATGTGTTGGGAGCTTTAGTGCCTGTAGGAGTAGCTGACCTATTCAAGCCACCCCTAGTGTCAAACGGCATCTTGGCACAGAGGACAGGGTCCTGTAGAGACCATGCCGTGTCAGATGAGCATGCCGACTGTGCAGGTTCATTCAGCCTAATGCACAGGACCACAGTGAGCGCTGCTGAAGTCTGTGACCTCCAGTGTGTGCAGCTGTTGTGGTTTGGTCCAACTGAGCTCCCTGTGCACGTGGAGTGATTCATGTTATAAGCACCCTATACGTGGAGCGACTTAGAGAATTAACCTTTGCCTGGGTCCCTATTTATATATATACACAGTACATGGTAGTTTGGGAACATTTCAGACCACAAGCGAACAGTTATTAAAAATAGGCTAGGCACAGTGGGGAGTGACACTAACTGGTGTACATTCAAGCCAAAATAAAGCTAGAAATTTAATGGTTAAATCTGTGGGCTGCACATACTGCAAATAACCCCTTTCCAACCCGAGTATCGAGTCTGCCTGTGTTCATGTTTTCCATGTCCCCTGTATTGGCTCCCTTTACTGTAGCATCCCAAGAAGGGACATCAAAAGATCCTTATTCTAGATGAGTGTTAAGGTCGGGGGTTTTTTGTAACTGGAGGGCCTCACATTCCCTTCCAATGAGCAGTAGTTCAGAGGTTAAGGTTCTCAGCTAAGTTATGTTTTTCATTTATGAGCAGTGTTCTCAAGTCCTCTGAGGTAAATTGATTCCTCTTATAAAAGAATCGCCTTTTGGACAGGGATGTAAAATGCCATCAGCCCTGTACCACTTTACTGAACATCGGATCACCCTTCCATCAGGTTACTCAAATCCAACCAACCGGACCTGCACCATACAGGTTGACTGATGTTCATGGTGGGGGGGTGGGATATCACACACTAGATGACTCGTGGGTATTCAGACAACCACTCCTCTGGAGGGATAGCTCGGGTTTCTGTGCCCTGTGGGTACCGGATTGGGGCAACTAGGTCTTAACTGGTCCTGACTGATCTTTAGCTTAACAGGCCCAATTGGACACTCTTCTCTAGTCCTTTAGGTGCTGGAGATGTGAATTCATGACTGGGCGTAAGATGTGTGTTGAGGTTGCTGTGGGTGGAAGGTGAAGCTCTTTCCACCCTGCACAGTGGGGAAAAAAGACTGATGGAAAAGTTAGTCCTGTATTGCCTACTTGATGAGCAGTACATTGCATGCAAACCAAAACCATATCCACCTGAAACAAAATATAGGCTGTTTAGAATATTGCACATCTGTCCAGTAATATCTAGCTGCTAAAGAGTTCTTTTTTAAACAAAAACAGACTGTGCTCCTATTTGTTAAATACCGAATGTCGGTTTTTTATTATTAAAAAATGCCCTTCCATTATTGAGTGACAGCTTGCCAGAGCCTGTCCTGAGGCTCAAGGCGTTTGACTGGTTACGATTAACTCTCGGATATGGTAAAGTGGTCTATAGCTTAACCACACTGGCACCAGATGTTTCCACGGCATCGGTCTTTAATCTTTCCTCTGATCCTGCTGCTCCCTGGAGCTGCTGCAGCAGGGCGTGGGCGATGTCCCTGAGGATGGGCACCAGTGTCTGTGTGGAGGCCAGGCGTCCTGACGCGGGCACGTGGACGAGGGCGGCTCGGCCCTTCCCCTGGTAGAGGGAGGTGTAGTAAACAAAGTCGCACAGGTACCTGCAAGAGGGGAAAAGCACCACATGGGTCCTCAGGGCCTGCTTCTACCACAGCAGGAGATGAATATGCAGGAATGATTCTCACCACTTACAGTATAATGAGATGATATGATAATGTGTTTTCTAGTTCAGCATCTTTGTGGATTAGATGTGTGATCAGGCCTCTGTGGGGATGACAGAAAAATGAAAATCTAAATGGTCTTAATGGTTTTCTGTATTTGATGTTTTTAATCCAAGACTCCTAAAACTTTGTTGACTAGTGATGGAAATGCTGCAATGTATTTGCATTGCAGTTTTAGCATTAATCCAGTCCAAAATACATGCTATCCATAAAACATCACTTGGCTATCTATCAGTTGGTAAATGCATAAGTACTTCCTTTTTTTTCTTCTTTCTTAACTGTTATATTGAGTGCAAAGAGACCAGAGAAGGGAGGCAAAAAATAAACCTATGCATGCGGTGGGTACATTTTCATCCCAAACTCTTTCTGAAAGCTTTCTGAAACCAGTGTGACTGTATGCTGCCGAACGTCAGGTTTGATTTGTCTGAGGTGGGATTAAAGAGTCTCTTTACAAGCAGCTGGCCTCACCTCCCAGGATCCCTTGAGTAAATGACGTCAAGCCCCCTGCCCCTCAGGCGCCTGGCCAGGGATTTCATGTCCATCACAGAGTCAATCCTCCCTGGCCCCCCCACCACGCAGCGGCCATCGGCAGGACAGGTGCCACACACATCCCGGGATTTATAGCCTTCATTCTTCCCACTCTGCTCCAGAATAATGGCGCTGGATCCTGGAGCAATTCTCACATGGATAGCCAGCTGTCGAGCAGAGCCAGGAAATCCACAGGCTGTATGACTTGTTGCTAATATTGACCGTAGCTGCTATTGCTAAATATCAAAAAGTCACTTATTGTCTTTGTATTCAGTTGTTGATTAAGGTTGCTGGGTATAATTTCATAAGATAAGGATAAAGACGACAATCTCATTATTATAAACCATGTGAGATGCAAAGTTTTGGGGGGAATTTTGAGGTAATGGTCCTACCTGGCTGAATTGAACTGATCACCTGACTAAACTGATGATTTAAAGACCTGCAAGACTACCAGGCTGAGACTCTCTAGAACCTGGGTTGGGCACTCCTCCATTGGCAGAAAGACACTTCTTTCCAATAGAGTCCAACCCAGTTTTCTTCTTTAATATTTGTATTAATATAATAATAATACCTTACACTTATACAGCACTTTTATGGACACTCCACTCAGAGGGCTTTACAGTTAATGGGGATCCCCTCCACCACCCCCAGTGTGCAGCCCCACCTGGATGATGTGACGTTAGCCATAGTGCACCAGTACACTCCCCACACATCTCAGTGGGGAGGAGAGCAGAGTAATGAAGCCAGTTCAGTGATGGGGAGTATTAGGAGGCCATGACTGGTAAAGGCCAGGGGGGAATTTGACCAGGATGCCGGGGTTACACCAATGTTCTTTTCAAGAAACGCCCTGGGATTTTTAATGACCACAGAGAGTCACGACCTCAGTTTTACGTCTCATCCAAAGGACAGTGCCTGTTTAGAGTATAGTATCCTCCCCACTATACTGGGATCCACACAGACCACAGGGTGAGCGCCCCCTACAGGCCACTCTAATACCTCTTCCAGTAGTAACCTTAGCTTTCCCAGGAGATCTCCCATCCAGGGACTGACTAGGCACACAGCTGCTGAGCTCCAGTGGGCTGCCAGTTGTGTTGTGGGGTGATATGGCTGCTGGCATAAAACTTGTGCCCTAACTGGGGATTGAACACAAAGCTTCGGGATGAGAGGCAAGCACCATACCCACTTGTCGAACGCGCTGCTGATGCTTTTATCCAGTGTACCAATCAAAGAAATTATTGAACTGCAAAAATTAACAGTGTAGTAGATGCAGAGTGTTCTAGGAAAAAGTTTGATCTTTTTTCATCCCCCTGCACTCTTCACTCTGGTATGTCTGCAGGTTTACCTGGGGGCTGAAGGTCTTCCACAGGAGGACAACTAGCTCCTGAGCTTTTCTGTAGCTCACTGGCAGCTCTTTAATGTGAATGTCCACATCTTCTCCCAGGCCTGACATCTTCAAGCCCTGCAGCAAGCACAGATACTGAATGGCCATCTCCAGAACAAAACTACTGTGTCTTCATGCAGTTAGATGTGCTTCACGTGCTGGTCATGATCTTAAGTAATTGGATTTTGAAGTGTGAAGTATCACAGGAAGCTGTGAGAGTTTATTGGGGTCCTGTCACTATTTAAGCAACATTAATACAGAAAGCGTGCAGTGTTTCCACTGCTGAGGGGAGAAGTTTCATCTGCAGATGTTTTTAAATACTTGAGCCACCAGGGGGCATGGAGACATTACCTCAGCTTGGAGCCTCTGTGTTCCAAAACCTTTCTTTAATGAGAACAGAAGAGGATGTGAAAGGGGATAGTGCTGACGTGTTTATCCAGAGACAGATCTGCAACATTTTGTGGTAACTACAGAATTTTTGGACCCTTTGAATGGTAAGAAAGAAAATGTCCTAAAAGCAAAATAGAATCTTTGTGGTATATGAATTCTCTACAGGCTTTAGTTCCCACATATCTTAAAAATAAACACACGAAAGCTTTTCATAAGAAGGGGCTCAAAGCGATGCAGCTTGTCTATACGGCTTCATGTTTATCTTGGACACTAGAATTTCAATGAGAGGTTTCAGGCAGCTGTTCCAACTTTTACGAACATAAAACATGCATTGATACGGTACTTTGTCAGGTTGAAAGTATCTGATTTTAAACTACAATTTGATTCTTCATCTGCATAAGGGAGAAGTAAATGTAAAGGACAAATTTAAGGATATCAGGGGCATCATAAGGCAGCAGTACAACTGACTGCATTTTATCTGAAGCTAGAGAGAATAGGGGTGGATGTGATTGATGACAGGGCAGGGCACCTTCGCTGCGTGCTCTTCGGTTCCCTCCTGCGTTCCAGACACATGCTTGCTGGGTTTGCGTGTGAGGTGTGAGTGTGTGTGCACAGGCTGCGATTGATAGGTACTCTGATGCACCTCTGGAAAGGGTCTGGGTTCCTGATAATGTGTAGAGCTCCACAGCAGAAAGGGTTTAAACCGCAGGAGGCTGTTCAGTCCACTTAGCCTGTCAGGCAGTCATCCTGCTTGTTCCACACTCCTACCACCCTACAGGCAAAGAGGTGCGTCTCGGTTTCCTGGTTTTTAAATGCACTTCCTCATAATTTCCCTTGCGCCCTCAATTAATTTTATTCCTGAAGCTCAGAAATCGGATGAATTTCACCGAAAGTTGAAAATTGATGGGACTGATGCCCGAAGAGCTGCCTGTCCTGCACACATCACAGCTCTGCAGCAGGACCCCGGTCCAGGTGAGCACTTCCAAGCGCATGGGCTGCCTGCCAGGTTGATCAGACACGCTGGTAAACGGCTGTGGGAGCCTTTTCCTCTCTGTCACTGACCTGATCCTGCCGGACCCTGGCCCTCACCCCTTCTCTCCCTCTCTCCCTCGCTCTCTCTCTTTCTGGCTCGGGATAGAAGGGAGCAGGAGCAGCCATGTTAACAAGCTCTCGGAATACGAGGGCTTTACCCGGGAGCATCCGGCTGGAAGCTCGGCTGTGTCCGCGGGGCCTGAGCTTTGCCTGGAAGGACGTGTTAAGGAGAGCTGACTGCCTGGGGTGCTCATTCCCCACCAGCAGCTCCTCGTTCCCTGTGCCTGGTGGAAACATTGATTAGCCACGCGCGACTTCACGGCTGACAGACTCCCCCGAGCCTGGCAGCACGCTGCGCCTAACCCTTTCTCTCCCAGTTCCGGATTGTGCCTTCTCCTTGGCAGAGGACGAGCATGTGCGAGCTTTGTACATTTCACCACGAACACGGCTCTTTCTTACCAGGCTGTGGCCCTTCAGGGCTCAAAAGACCGTCCCAGTTCAGTTTTTCATTTGGAAATGAAATATCTACGTCCACCAAGTGTTTTATCTTACCTCCCATAACAGAATGGTTGGCAGACAGTATATTGTGTTCATCTGAAGATATTTTCATTGCAAAACATTGATGGCTACATCCATGTCTGTTTGCGCTAATGTTGCTAGTAAATTATGCATGAGATAAATACCTCCATTTCTTCCCTTACTGGAAAGCCAATTCTTCCTGGGAAGAGTCACAGCATCCTGGACTTTATCCCAGAAGCGTAAGGCGCAAGATGGGACTACAAACAGATCAGGACCTCTGGCCATCGCAGGGTGAGGAGTAAAGTGATGTTTTTGAATTACTGCTGTACTGCATGATGATGTGATCTAATTGATGCTAATGGTAGCTAACAGAACTGCACAGGCACCTGCTGCATTACTGCAGGAGTCCCTTACCTGAACTGCCGGCCAGCTGGGGTTGAACAGGTACTGTCTGAAAGGGCCAAACCCTGAGAAAAGAACAGACTCAGAACTGTCACCGTGTCACGCCCTGCCTCCCATCAAAAAACTCTGAAAGCATGAACACTAAATCTGTTCACTTAGAAATGGCTGACTTTTATATTTCATACTGCATTCACTTGTGTTAAATGCCTCGAACATCTCCTGACGAGTGAAGGACAGCACATGCCGCTGCTCTCCTGTTGCATCACGCTGTGCACACCAGGGGGCGCGCAAGCACGCTCAACGCGAGTTCAGCTCCACTTCCACGCGTCGTGCTCGTACCTACCCGTTACAACCACGACGACTTTATCTTCGGTGCCCATCCCGTTCAGTAACCTTCACTCGCCCTTCTTCACACGGCGGGGACCCGGACTTCTTATCCCGCGGTGACCGATTTCTTAAGAGACGTAAATATTGCCGCACTCCCCCTCCACCATTTATTCGTGATTTTAAGTTGTACTATAAAGTGTGTGTTGTTGTATTTTGCTGTTTAACAATACAATTCGACAAACTATATATCTTATTTTTTTTAACCATCATCCCAGCACGGATTGCCAGTGCACGGACGAGTGAATTCGTGAATTAGCCAGCCTGCTGCCGGCGGCTGCGGGCTTCAGTCTGTGTGAGAGGGTCCGCCGCGCTGTTGTTTATATACCGGGAACATCAACCTGCGCTTCAGAGCCGGACCCTTCCACGCCGCTGTGTTTACAGACAGGAAAACTCGTGACCATGTCGCTCTTACCAACGAGGTGATGTGCTGAATGGGTCTTTTTACACCGGCGCTGTGGGCTAGAGCGCGCCCTGGCTGATTTCGACCTCGATTTGTATGTGATTTCGCTCAAACCCCCTTTAGAAAGAAAGCGCCGCATACTGACACCTGCCCAAAACAGTCTACAAAACTGAAATCTGTCGCCTTGCTGACAACTACAGTGCAAGACTCGCAAACGGCGGTCTCTAAAGACGCACCGACGCAGTTCAATCCGATTTAAATCCATATTTTTGTTTGTGGTTTTTCCAGGAGTGAAACGGGGCGCATTTGCAGCACACTTAACCGCCCGGTGCGCTCTCCTGACACGCGAAAGGTCCCCGGTTAGACCCCGGGGGAAAACATTTTAATGTCCCTGGGCACATCATTTCAAAACATAGTGTACATGTAAATGTTGCAGCTGTCAGTATAGATACAAGCATACTCTACACGCTGTATCTTTTTAATCAATTCTAGTCGAATAAATCGGGCTGCACTTAAGCGCCCGCTGATAAACGTTAAAATTAAAACGCAGAATGATCGAGGTGTTCGGGCTGTGGTGATAAACTGACTCCCCGTAGCCGATAAATACATATTGTAACATGAAATACTGTTTGCAGATAATCTTTGGCGATTAAATATGTGAAATATCAACTTATGTCATTTCTTTTTGCTTTGGGTGGAAAGGAGAAATCGGCACGCTAGAACCCAGGCGCGTTTGAACGCAGAGCAGCGCGCCGGGGGAAATACAGTGACCTCCCTGCTCTTGCGACCGCTTTCCACTTGGGTGTGCCATTCTGTCAGAAAGCTGAAGAAGTTTTTTCTTCTTCCCGGGGCTGGCTGAACGGACTGGGACAGCTGGACTGGTGATTTCTGACGGCGGGGCGAGCGCCGCCCTCCTCCCGCCTCCACTGGACACTCGGGCTCGGCGGGACGGCTACCAGACGCGCTGGATGCGCCCTGCGGAGCACAGGGGCGCCGGAGCAACTTCCCAGTCGCAGGAGCATCGCACCTCCCGGCTCCGACCGGGACCGGCGCCGCCGACCGGACCTCGGGCGCGAAGATGTTGCAGCACCGGAGACCGTTTGAAAACGAGAAGCTGCAGCTCCAGGAGCTGAACCGGAGGCTCGGACAGTACCTGTCCCGGGTGCAGCAGCTGGAGCGGGAGAATGCGCGCCTGGCCACGGAGACCGACGCGCTCCGGCGGGACCGCACCGCGGAGTGGGAGCGGCAGTACGCGGCCGAGCTGCGGGCGCTCCGGGGCGCCGTGGACCAGCTGGCTCTCGAGAGGTCCAGCGCGGCGCTGGAGAGAGACAGGCTGTGGCGAGAGTGCCAGCTGCTCACGGGGCTGTGCAGCCAGGAGGCCGGGCTGTGCAGGGAGATAGACGGGGAGCTCAGGGGCTGCGAGAAGCAGCTGCAGGTGGCCCAGAAGAAGAACGCCGCTCTGGAGCAGCACCTCCTCCAGCTCCAGGACGAGCACGCCTCTCTAGAAGATGCCCACAGGCGAGACCTCGCCCTGCTCCGAGAGCAGGTCCACGCCAGGGCCGCGCCTGCCCTCGCCACGCACAGGCACCAGGGCGCCCCGGCCCTCGCCGTGGAGGACGTGGAGGAGTACGCGCACTCCCTGTCCGAGGCCTGGGAGGAGACCCTGGAGGTGTACCGCAGGAGGATCGAGGAGCTGGAGGAGTCGGCGCGGCTGGGCGAGCGGCGGCTGGGCGAGCTGCGCCGGGAGCAGGGGCAGTGCGCCTCCCAGCTGGAGCAGCTGCGCGCGGAGGCGGACCGGGAGGCGCGGCGGCACGAGCGGCTGGAGCGGGAGCTGGGGCACGTGCAGGACGCCTGCAGCTCGGCGCTCGAGCAGTACCAGGTCGGTACCCGTGGTCCGGGCGGGTTTCACGGGCTCTGTGAGCGAAGCGCACGCAGGGAGTTATTTCTCCGCCAGCCTCCTAGCTGCCATTCCCTTCGAGCAGACTCAAACCGTTTATTTGGAGAAGCGGTCAACAATATGTTGGGGAAAAAAAACGGTTCAGTACCCTCATCCCAGCCAGCTTCATTCGCAGGCGCTTCTGTCTGAAGTGCCACACCCATGCAGACTCGGAGAGCTGGCAGAAGTCAGCACAGCCCCATTCAGATTGCTAATACTTGTCAGAAATAGTAGCAAGAGAATCAGTGTGGTCTGTAAACTGTAGAACCACTCAGTGATGGCTTTAAACAATTCCGATACAAGTTGCACTGCCCAAACACTGACATTCCCCATGGTGAACGGACAACCTTTGGGAATCACTGCTGCTGAAGTAAGGTGACAAATCCAAGATCGCTCTACTCCGTGTGCTCAGACCACTGCTGTCGCTATACAGTTTGAAAAGAGTGAGAATAAATAAGAAACATTTTAAGAAAATGTATTTACTGTGGCTGCCTTAACATTTCTTGTTGGTATCTGTGGGTTAACGCAGCACATTGAGAGACCCAGCAGACACTAGTGTAACATGCTTGATTCTTTGTTGATGCAGCTCGTTTAAACCGAAGGATAGTCAGCCTCAGCACCAGGCTTCCAGAACTTTACAGGCCTTCAAACTGTCCAATCAATCATTAAATTTATTATTTATCCCCTGTGTTTGACCCCCTTTGAATAAAACATTGGTGTGATTTACACCGCACCTAAAAAGCACAAGAGTGCTCATTCATGCCTTTCTGTCTCTTGGTCTGATGTCCAGCCCTGAACAGGTCCTTCATCGGGAAGCCACTTATTCCTGCCAATGCTCCTGGTATCCTAGAGCCTATCCTGGAAGCACAGGGTAAAAGACAGGACCACACCCTGGGCAGGGTGCCAGACTCACACGGTCATAGTTCTGATGAAACATATTGGAATGTACTGGGAGAAATTGGTGGGATAAACACCATGGTAAATTTCATGTACATTACAAGGTAATTTTATTTAGCTGACAGCCTTGTGCATAGTTTTATCCATTTCCCTCTGCTGGTATGTCCTGGTTTCCTGGGGGGTACACGATGGTGCTACAAAGAGAACTTCGACACCGTTTCCTGCGCTGCTGTTTTTCTGGAGGTGCCTTTTCTCCTGACCAGCCTCGAGAGTCTAAATATCCGCTTGCAGGGGGATTCTGCCAATGGCCAGAAGTAGGCTTTTGTTATGTTGATTTTCTATGATACCCGGGATGTCTGTTGGTCAATTGTACTGTTTTCTCCGGACATCGTCAACAGAAGTAGTTAGGTTGCAGACTGGGTGGCAGCACATCTGACAGTGACAGATGAGACAGGGATCCTCCTCAGTGTCAGCAGGAAACCTCTCCAGCTTTTACAGTCTCCATGCTGCGCTTTTTTATCTACAGAAATAAACCTTTTCATCCCTCACCTGTTACTAAGTGGCAGGTACATGCCGACCGTGACAGCCTCAGGTGTAGATTATGTTTTGTCCCTCAGGAAGCAGGAGATTATGATCCCTATATATCATAGAGTACTTAAGTGCAACACATGGAGAAAGATTGACAGATATAATAGAAAGCAATCTGTCAATTTGGTGGCCAGTGCTATAGACTGCAATGGAGTCAGAACATGACTTTCCTGAGAGTCTCTCCACAGTGCTTCATGTCAGAAGCCGAGACTGGGCATCTTACTAGCCTAGACAAACAGACCGTGCTGCACTGATGCTGAAGCATTACGTCTGAAAGAAATTGAATCAGCCACATGGTGGCTTGTCTGCTCAAACATATTACTGCTGTAGTAGTTAATGCTGTTAGCTGCACTAGTCTCTTAAACCCATTTCCCAGCTGGGTCGCAAATCCTCATATGCTGCCAAAAGCGACAGCGTTTTAAGCCGTTTTACTCAGAAGGCAGCACATTCTTGCTTAGCAAGGTGAGGCGAGACTGAATATCTCTGTGTGTGCTGCAGTTATTAGAAATAATGCACTATATCTAGGACACAGTGCTGTTAAAACCGAGTCTTGAGTGCAGAAATAAAACAACTAGACAAGATAGTAGATCAATTACCGGCAGCGCCAGTTGCAGCGATCAGCAACAGGTACTCCAGGCACGAGAACGAGATCAGCTCTCCAAAGGCCTCAGCCCGTACTGGTCTACCTGCAGCAGCTTTCCCTGAGGAATCGAGCACCCCCTCAGTAATCACCAGACCCCAGGTCACCTCACCATCTGCCCTCCTCGGATTAGAGCAGACAGGGAATTCAGAAACCGAACTGCCAGATAGTCAAGCTTTAAGGTTTGAAAGAATCATTGATATGGTCTGGTTACCAGAACACTACGGCCACGGCTGGCACACGCGGGGAGCGTGCTCTCACGACCAGCGACCACGCCTGCCGACTGACGGAGCGAGCACTGTATCGACTCGTGTGGCCACGAAGGCCCTCGTGTGGCACGAAACCAGCGGTGTTCGCCGTGTGGAGAGCTCATGGCCGTACACGGGCCGGACGCACTGGTTGTCACGATTGTCTTGTGAACAGACCGCTTGCTCTCTCGTCCCGCCAGGTGGCTATTGAGCAGCTGGAAGAGGAGCGCAGGGAGCTGGCCAGCATCATTGCAGAGAAGCTCCGTGACCACCAGGAGCTCATGCAGGTCAAGATGGGCCTCAGCCTGGAGGTGGCTGCCTACAGGTAGGGGTCTGAAGTGCTGGGCTGCGTCCCCGGATTCCCAGACGACATCTTCACACCCCTGAAGGAAAGAACAAAGTCAACCCCTTACCAGGCACAAGCAGGACCTGCGGGTACCGATGGCCAATCAGTGTGTTGTAGAAAACAGGGCAGGAAAAGGGAGGCACTTGTTTACACACAGTTTACAGGCTGTAGGGAAAAGAGAGGGCCCCCAAGTAAGAGTGGCTGATTGTACCCCTGTGTCACACTGTTCACACTGTTTGGGGGCATTCCCATGAACTCCATGAACTCCCATGAGTTCCCATGAACTCCTGCCTGCTTCCAGCAAGCTACTTCTCCATCCTGCTCGCCAGCTGAACTTCCAGCTCGGCGTGTTTCCCAGCACCTGGGCTTGATCTGGAATGACTTTGTTCTGGGGAGTGTGGGTGTCAGAAGGAGTTGGAGGAGTGTCAAATAGTTTTAATATGGAAGTGTAGGGAACATGAAGAGGAAGCGCTGAGCAAGACCATGGAGGTTCCTCAAGCGTACCACCAGAACATTCACTGGGAAAGTATGAGACATGCAGGAAGGTATCTGTCTGTTTCAGAGCTTTTCAATGATTAACCAAGAGCTTGTTGATTTTAATAGGTCAGATCTGCTGGAGAGATTTGTTTTGCAGAATAAGGAAAATCATGTTGCTTCTAGTTTTTGAAGCAGAAAGTTTTGATTTTCTCTAGCTTTGCTGAAGGAATCCTTCATGGACCAGTGAAGTCATTTTTAGTGTGTCTTCAGTTCAAGGTCATCAGTTTGCCTTTTTATATTGGGAAGTATGCCTGCTGTGCGTTTCCACATCCACTTCCATACTTTTAGGAGGAGCTGCTACTCAAGCAACATTGCACACAGAGCAAAGAGCAGAAGCACGTGTTTCTTCTCCAGGTCAAATTCTCATTTACTGAAGTATGTTTTAGAGGGCCATTTTTTCATAAATCCCTCTTGATTGCAGAAAAGTAACTGAAAGATCTTTAATTTTATTCTTCAAAATGAAGATTTTAAATGGTAGGTGCTGCAATTAATTTCCATATCCAAGCCACAGTGGCTCATTGGGCCAGAGCTCATCATGGTTCTTGCAAAGTTAAGCCAACAAGAGACCATGGGCCTCCCCCTCCATCCCCCCAGCTGGGGCGCTGGTCTGTCACAGGGGTGACCCCCAGACACGCTGGTCCCCATTCATACCGCTGGGAGGACTGGAGGCGCTGGGGTACAAAAGCACATATCCACTACACAGCTGTGCCCCGTTGTGAAGAGTGCTCCCAAATAATAGGACATTTATAAAGTATAAAATACCAACATGTCGTGAGTGCAGTCAGAGCCTCCTCTCTGTTCTCTCGAGAGGGGGAAACAAATGGAAAGACAGACTGTGATTTCACATGGAAAGTCAAAACCTCATAAAGACACAGATAAAAATGAGCCCCATCATTTTCTGTATTTGTTGCCACTTGAAATATCTTTCTCAACCTGCTGGACAAAGGCTGGGCTTTTATTGGCTGATGATACAGGCCTGTTAACTTTGAAGGCTGTCAGAGCTCTGTGAAACGTTACACGGCTCCATCTCAAATACTGTGGGATTCTTGGAACGTATTTTTAGTGATTTCATACATCGCTGTAGCAACAGAACAACTGTTACGCTTACGCTTGGCAACAACACTTAGCAAGGCATTCTTCTGGGGCCTCTGACTTTGTTTTTAACTCTTTCCTGGGAATGGGAGATCAGAACCACCCACAAAAGTGAGTAAAACATGATGACACATTACTGTAATTTAATATGTCAAGATATTTTCTTATATCAGTCATGTTTCTGCTTCTTTTTTTGCACTTTTCAAGGTACTGACAGAAGTCCACTCAGTCTGTTGATTTGAGCACAACTGGGCAGTAAATTCTGAAGGGTCTTGTGTACTGAAACATTCCAGCGAGTTCTCACTGCATAAACTACAGTGACATCTTGTTCTTAAATACTCAAACCTCTTAAGGGTGTTGATTGGAGCTTTAAACTGCAACGGGAAAACTAAATATATAATTCCTGTCTGTGTCTATTTACTTTTCTATGATTTAACTAAATTCAGAATAGAGGAGGTAAATACAGACTTGGTTGCCAGAACTACAACAGGAAAAGAGAAATTCTAGGGCTGAGGAGAATGAGTCTTTCTCCTCTGTGAATAAATCTGAATGGAGCTATAGAACTATCTGACTTATTATGCAGGCAGGTGAAAACTGTAATAATGAAGTTTTCTTTTTTAGAGAAAGGGATATAACAAGGCTTTGTCAGACTCTCTTATTGAGGAATCAATGTCGAGATGTCACATAACAAAGCTGAACTACAATGGAGCAAGATGTACTGCAATAATTATTTTGAATCATTTCAAGTTCATAAATGAAAAGATCAATTTGATTAATGGAGTTGCTACACATATAGGACCTGACAATGTGCTGATTTATTCCATTTTCCCAACATTATGGAGGTACTGTTTCATAGGGGGGACCATATTCAACACTATTGCTAAATATCCAATGTCCTCCTTTTTAGTCTGAAACAAAACTCTTTTTATTTTCCTTGTAATGTTTTAAACATAATAAACAGCACTCAAAAGGCGTGTATGTACTCAGTAAATGAATGCTGTCATCATGAGGTTATTTGTAAAGTGCACAGTGCTGTTGAGGAACTAACAAATCAATATCATTATGTAATAATGGGCCATGTTAATGATTGGTATAATAAGCTTTTATTATAGTAACATACAGGCATTTTACCATGTTTTACTGTCCAGTACAGTATGTGATTCAAATTTGAATCAGTCCTCTGGTCTGTGTCTCTGTGTGAAGGAGGAAATGGGTTGACTTAACCACTGTTCTTCAAGGTTTTGCACACTTGCATGACATTTCTTCATGTTCTTCTTTGATTGAGATTAAAGAATATCTGTACCTTTAACTTCTCTGTGCAGGATTTTTTAAAATGATCTTGTTTGATCTTGTTTGCCTTTTTTGGTAAATAGTGAACAACAATTGTACAAATGTTCCACAATGTTCCAAAGAAGGTTAACTGAAGCGTTGAATAATTTTAACTCAACTTTTGGTTAAAATTTAGATTGCATATTCTAACATTATTTGCTGTAATTGCTTCCCTCACGTTATAATCTCCTCACAGATCAGTTCTTTGTCTTGTGTGTTTTGGAAGTAGAAAGCCATTTTCTTGAAAATGATGCCCGCATGCTCACAAACGGACATTATCTTAATCATAAACCTCAAAAACCTTCAGACAGACAAGGTCACTTTCTATTTCATGTCTTGGTTTAAGTCATACAAAACTGGAGTTATCAGAATGAGTTTACCATACAGCCACACATGGTGGCGCGTTTCTCTTCATCAACAAGATACAACTTTGACTTTGATTTGACTCTGAGGATGTGTCATCTATTCCCCAGAGCTCTGCTGGAAGGTGAGAGAAGAGATGTCTATCAATGGACAGATGAATATGTGAGGGAAGTCCCAAGACCTTCAGGTACACAGCACTTACAGTACTTACTGTCCAGTAACTTTCACCATCTGCTTTCGACTGCGTGATGGAATGTCTGTTCAAGTTTTGTGTCATGAAAAGAATCAAGAGTGGTGTGTTTTGGGCATGTGTGTGATTTCTTAAAGAGATTAGTTTACAGCTGTACACAACGTTAATTCAAAGGGGTCTGTTTCTCCTAAATGCTTAGACATTTTAAGTTTGAAAAGGTATTTGTTGCTAAAAAGAGCTTTTACAGAATCTTTATTGCTGCTTCTAATTTTGAAAGTTTTTTTCCTATTTTTGTCCTCAGATATTAGGAGGGCAGCACATACGTATGCGGTAAAGCAGTCATCTGTTACCAGACATGATGGAAGGAAGTTGTATCCAGTCAGTATGCTTCTTGATACCCGACACAAAGAGCAAGCATCAACCAAGAATACAGTCTCCAGGCCAGCTCGCTTCACGAGCGCTAGCATTGCAAAGACTGTTCCTATTAGCATTTCGGACAGGAGCTCTGAAGCCAGAAGAGATATCCCCTCCTTCACCAAAGCCTCACAGGCTTCTGTGAAATTATTCAAGGCTAATGACTCAGAGACTGAAAGAAAGAGTACAGATGTTCAGAAGAAAACAGTGGTAACAGAAGAAGTAGTGAAACATTCAGTCACAGATTCGGCTGTTAATCTGCGGAGCTCTGGCAGTGTGAATAGAGCTAGTCCTGGTCCTTTACCCACAGCAGAGAAGGAACCAGCTCCAGAAAATGTTCACCTGAAAACCACAAATATTACGTCATCAACTAAGGTGACTCAGCCAGAAGAACAGAGCCCAGTAAATGTTATTAATGTCCAAATGGTCAAGACAGAAACTAAAGAGGAAACAGCAGACACAAAGGTACACCTTATAAAAATGGAACAAACTCCAAAAAGCAGAGAAGTGAAGATAACCCTGGAGGGGCGTAAGATTCAGAATGTCTTGGGAGGAACAGAGGAAGGTTCCCTTGGGATTCAGCCTGGGGCTCGAGTTTGGGGTGAATTGAGTGGGGAGAAACAGGTTAAAGCTGAGAAGGAGGCTGAGGAGACATCTTCAGCTGTCCGCAAGGATAAAAAACCATTAACAACTGAGGAAAAGGTTTTGGACTCCATAACCATGGAGGATATCATTGAGAAAGTGGTGAAGCCTGCTGGTTTGGAAACAGTGCTCAGCTCATCCCCCGACTCAAAAATCACCTACCACGTGGAGAAGACAGAGAGAGGAGATGGCACCACCAAGACTGAGATCATCTTGGAGTCCAAAGTGCAAGAGGATCTGGACACTTCAGATGATTCCATACTGGAGGAGCTTCTCAACAAGGGTGTCAAGAAGGTCTCTATGGAGGATGTCAAGGGAACTCCAACAGGAAGTATGATCGAGAACTTGCTCAGTCTAGGAATGAAAGGCAGTGAGAACCTGGAGAACAAGGCAGTCAATGTGGAGATTATCGAGGAGCCACTGGAGCCTCACAGTGATGAGGAAAATGAAGGGAAGCCCCCACCAACGTTTTTCAAGCCCACATCAATGTTCTTCCAGATTGAAGAGCTAGAGAATGCACCTCAGGTTGCCAGATCATCGCAGAGCAGCACGGAAGCAGTAGGGTTTTCGGTGACAGATGGAGAATATGGGAAGACCATGCCGTTTCAAGAAGTTTACGGTGCCCAGGGCTCTTCCTACATTCACGTTCCAGTGACGGAGTATTTTGTCTCCACACCCGATGAAAATGTCTCAGAGCACGAGGAGAGTGACTTTCCAATTTATGAGCACTACGGAATGGCCCAGGATCTGTCTGGGGATGAGTCGTACTGGCAGGAGGAGCCAGCAACTGCACAGGAACAGAGTTTCACAGAGGCAGACCATTACAGAACCACATACCTGAACACTAACAGAGGCGATCACACTATGACCAGGGAAAGTTTCCCAGAGTGCATTGTGGAGGAAGAAGTAGAGGAGGTTCAAGTTCCTCATGATGTTCAAGAGTCAGTGCTCAAGCTTCTGAAAGAGGATGATATGGATCCCAAGAAGCAGCTGAAGGGGGCTTTGGAACAGCTCCAAGGAACAGTGACTGAGAGTTTCAAAGAGGAATTAGCTATTTTAACCAGGAACGGAAAAGAGGGGTCTGACAGCGTGGCGGTGGACATTCGAAAAGTGGAGCAATCAACAGAGGATGGATCAGTGACCATCGTTGCAGAAATCAACGTGTCCCAGAGCCTGGAAGATTCAGGACTGCTAGAGGATGAGATTAAGGAGCTGTCTGAAGAGCAGGTAATGTCAGCGCTGCAATCAGCCAATCCAGAGCTTCATCAAGCCATCAGCAGAGGAGGTGAGAAGAGTCCTGCTGGCGGCGACAATAGGGAGTTTAGGGTTAAGGTTTCCAGAGATCAGGGTGTAAGAATGCAGGGTGTGTCGTGGGTGGAAAGCAGTGAAAACCCAGAAAACACTGGCGACGAAGAAGAGTCACAGAGTGGAGTCAGCAAGACAGTGAAGCACATCAGGCTAGGTCCCACCGAGAAGTCCTTCACGTTCCAGATGGACGTGACAAAAGTTCCAGTGAACGCCAGCAGCAGTCCCCAGCAGGCGCAGGCGTTGTATTCGCAAGCAGAGATGGCGGAGGAGCCCAACGGCAGGGAAGGGAGAGAGGACGTCTATAGCTACTCGCAGAGGGTGACAGGGAGTGAAAACAGGGGCCAGTTGGTTTCCCACGGAAGCGACGACGACGATCAGATGACAACATGGGATCCCAGCCACGGCTACACGGCTGAACACGCTGCCTTTACCAGAATTATACAGACCCAAAGAGTAGTGGATCCCCGGGCTGTGGTCAGTGAGGAAAAGAGAATCGCTGCCATTTACCTGGACAGTCCTGAGGAAGATTAGCAGAAGACGCTGGAATGTGATACACAAGAATCTTTATTTGGTTGTGCTAGCATCAGCTGAGGTAATAATTCTAGTTACAGCTCTATGAGGTAATAACTTAAACCCCTGTGTCTGCCTAAAGTGATAATATAGGATTTCACTCCAGCCTAGCATACAGTATATCAGTTGCTATCTTATATCCCCAGTGAGTTTTAATAATAATTAACAACAGAGGTTTCAATATTACGTGTTTTTATCTTAACAGTCTTGATGCTTAAAGTAATAATAATAATTGCTTACACTTATATAGCGCTTTTCTGGACACTCCACTTAAAGCGCTTTACAGGTAATGGGGACTCCCCTCCACCACCAATGTGCAGCCCCACCTGGATGATGCGACGGCAGCCATAGTGCGCCAGAAAGCTCACAACACATCAGCTCTCAGTGGGGAGAGCAGAGTGATGAAGCCAGTTCATAGAGGGGGATTATTAGGAGGCCATGATTGGTAAGGGCCAATGGGACACTGGGGTTACACCCCTGCTCTTTTTGAGAAACGACCTTCGATTTTTAATGACCACAGAGAGTCAGGACCTCGGTTTTACGTTTCATCCAAAGGACGGCGCCTGTTTACAGTATAGTGTCCCCGTCCCTATACTGGGGCATTAGGAACCACATAAACCACAGCATGAGCGCCCCCTGCTGGCCCCACTAACACCTCTCCCAGCAGCAACCTTAGTTTTCCCCATGAGGTCCCCCATCCAGGTACTGACCAGGCTCACACCTGCCTAGCTTCAGTGGGCTGTCAGTTGTGAGTTGCAGAGTGATATGGCTGCTGGCAAAGTAGGCTCCTAAACCATAGGGAGCATAGAACTGTGGCTGTGTTAAATTCACCTTCTCTATATTTTATAATGCTGGTTTAATTGTAATCTTTTACCAAGATGGTACTTATGATGTGTGCTTATAGGTGTCCCTCTTAGAACGTTATTGATCTTTTCAATAGATAGATACACATTGTTCTGCTTCACAGGATTCCAAAGAGACTGATTCAGTTGCTGGTTTTGAGCACCTTAAAGAGTTTTGACTTTTGATTTTATATACTTTTTTGTACTTCTGGCTTACTAGAGCCCTACTGTAGCCACGTGCTTGCACTGTCCAGGAGATGCTTTATGGAAGAACAGTATATAATTAGCTTTGTAACACGTGCCTTCCAATATAAGGTATTAGATGCTGCAATTGTAAGAAAAGTTGGAGCTTGGTTTGTGGTTTGTAGACTTTTCCACCGCTCATGTGTAATACTCCTGTGTAGTACTGTATAGTACTCCTGTGTAGTGCCCATTGACTGTATGTGTTTGCTGCGTTTTCCTCCTGTTGAAACCCCTTATGTATTGTAATCAGTGTTGTTCTTTATTTAAAAATGGTCACGTTGGGCCTGTTCTGACTAGAAAACACAACGGAGCACAAAGGCACAGCATGATCCTTCCTCAGAACGTGTTGGTTTCCTTACATCAGGAATGAATGTGTCTCAGCCTCTATAGTTACTCCTGTTCTAACCTCTTCTAAGTCAGAATAAGAAGTGAGCAAAACAGATATGGCTGAATGTCTTAGATATCTCAAGCAAAAAAATTATTCTGACCATAACTATTTTACAAAAGGAAGTGTCTATAACTCTGATTGGCATTGTGTCAGATTGTTCACTTCCTGGTAAATATTGCTTTCTCAAAAGGATTGCTTTGCTCTTTTACGTCTCCTTGTGGTGATCTTAAAATCCTTTAATTCAATTAGGTCTAAGCCTTTAGGCAATCAGGCTTTTGGGCTGACAGTGCTATCCTCCTACATCATGATGTTGAGTAGGAAGACATTTGACAACACTCAAAGCACTTGACAGCACATATTTCTGTACATTTTTTGTATGATGGTGAACATCCATGCATTTGAGTATTGCAGGCCGGAACCTGAAAGCGTGTGTTTCTGTTTTTTTACCCCTTGTCCACAGTGTGTTATTTTGGGCTCATGTTTTACTAATCCGGAGCAGAAGGTCACACTGGCATAGAAGTTGGTTTGCATAACCTCCTTAGCTATTCCAGGATCTACCTTGATCTCAGTAAAACCTGCAAACCTGTACATGCTAGAGCAAATGGCTTTGTATTCTTAAACAATGCTGCAGAGTATTTTTGGCTAGAAGACTTTTTTTCTTTTTTTTTCAGACATTGTATGTAGTGTTGCATTGGCAGCATAATCTTAATAATAATCAGGATGTTTTTGGCACATTTTTAGACTTTTCAAATGGTCAAGTAATAGGTTCTGTCAAAGACACCAACTTGGAATGGGATTTTAAAGATGTTTCTGAGGTAGTGTTTTGCTGAACTTCATATGTTTACTATATTACTACCACCCATATTGCATTGAATGAGAGAGACCTGTTGTCATCAGATGCATTTAACATTAGAACAGCAAGGCCTTTATTTAGCCTCACATGCACTGTGATGACTGTTTATCACATGTACCATATGCAGTTTAGTACACTTCTGTTTGGTGTGAAAATACTTATATTTATCTAGAGCCAGCTACCTGGCCCCTGGAAGACTGTATCCAATCAAATTGCTTTCAAATGGCAATTTTAATCAGGTACACCTATTCCAGATGTTTGTGGCATCTGTTTTCATGTGATGCCAGAATGTGAAGTTTAGCTGGCTGTGAATGGGATCTGAACAGCGAGTCTGCAGTCACTTCTGTGTGTCTCTTGGCTTGGGTGAGACCGTCTGGATAAGCACAGCATTATTTCCTTTAGAAACAGCGCGGCGGGATTAGAAATGGCAAGGATGCCCTGGGAGCCAGCGTTACTGTACACGGAGAAGATCACTGTGTGCCAGGGCAGGAACTGTGACAGCGGTGGGGCACCGTGGCACAGTGAGTGTTTGCTGTGGTGGGCCAGTGCGAGGAAAGCAGACAGGGAACAGCTCACACAGGCATGGGAGAGCCACGACGGCTGTGCCCACAGTTTCCACCGTTCAGTGGCGGTGAGCGAAGTGTTGAATACGGGGTGAGCAGGTACAGTCGTCCACGTGTGTTAAAACAAACAGACCTAACAGGGATCCTTCACAACTCTGCCAGGGGTTTGTTCACTTGATCGGTGCAGTCCAGGACCGGTGGGCATGAACCACTTCAAGATTTAAATAACTGCCAGTCTTGCCTTCCACACCTTTGTGCAACGTCCCTAATGCTGTGGAACGTTTGAATGCAGAAGTAAATTGCTAAGAGGATGCCCAAAAATCAGGCAAGCTTGCTCCATGTTTTGAGAAACTCAGGAGTCAAGCGTGGTTTCCTCTCATGTGGGACCGTCCTTACATGTATGTCCATTGGTCTGCCCCCCCAGTGCCCCGCACCCCGCGCCCCACTGGGGCATCGATCCCTGTGTGCCTCTCTGCCAGGGAGAGGTCTTTCTCGTACAGGTAGGTCGTAGGTTGTTTCCTCCTCCTGGCAGGGCCAGAGCTCATCCTGCAGGCCGTGGTGTCAGGGGGACTTGCGAGTCCACTCCCACTACCACACCGGGGACTCAAACCCACAACTAGTTATAAGACCATAGACTTGCCCATTACACCACCACCCCCTTCCCCAGCCTCAACTCATAATCTGTTGATAATTTTTGCTGCTTTATTGTGACTACTAGATTTTGGTGAAAGCATGTACTTTTCTTAGACTTTAGGTATAAGTTATTATTGAATGTCACTTACAGAGAATAGGAACATTGCTAGGGGGATGTTAAAGAAGCCTGTGCATGTGAGCAGTGAGAGAACATGAGTAATGCAGTCGGAAGAGACCAGCTGGCTGGGGGGGGACAAGCCCCAGAACTAAACTCGTCGGAACTCCAGCTTGTGCTGGGCGTAACTGGTCTGGTAGCTGAGGAACACCCGTCATGTCTTTATCGAGAGGATAACTGCATTGCTTTTATTTCTTTATTAAAACAGTTTCATTTCATATTCACTTTTATTTCTTTATAAACCATCTTTGTTGGCAGCTTTGCATTTTACAGATCATCTTGACACAGGTCAGTATGTAGAAACAAAATAAATCATTAAAGCATACTTCTGTGTCTGGGTCATTCTTTAACAGAGGTGTTTTTGTCCGGTTTTGAAATGGTTTTCCTGGTCGTGTTACACTGTTAAGTGTCCCTCTTCGCCACACGTCTGTTTTTGATAAATCAGTGTTTCCAGATCAGGATTTTGTGCTCGACTCATGGCACTTCACTAAGCACACTGTGGCTCAGAGCTCTATGTTTTTCACCGTCCCCAGTGTCTCAGGAAGTCTTTCTGTCTGCTCTGTCACTTGGCAGACACCATCAGTACAGAACGGTGTTGCGTTTCAGCTGTTATACTAAATGTCCATCTTAAGATTTCATTTAGGGGATAGCAGATGCATTAGTGAGGCCCTTGGGGTAATTTAATACCACATTTTTTCTGGATCCCTGTTCCATTACTTCCATTTTACACTGCGAGTGACGTCAGTTCCAGTGCTGCAAGTCTTACAAGAGGAGCTGCTGCTGTCTTCTTCGATCTACAGTTCTCAGTGAGCTAGTTTGACCAAGACCTCTACGCTCTCCTCTTTATAGAGTTCTGAAATGGAGCGGAGTGATTGTTAATTTAGCTAGCCCATTTAACCTCGTGTACTGAGAAAGCTGTTCACTATGAGATTTGATACATGCACAATGGAACCAGAAGGGACATGTCCCCTTGAGCAGCACTGTGTCCACACTGGGTGCTGTGCATGGGAGGACATGGCACACAGTAGCATGAATCTGTTTAATACCTACTACTGTCCATAGGCATGTGCTCTCTCTTGGTCCCATTTTCGAAATGTCTACTTTTGTTTCTCAACAGTGTACAGTTTTTCATGAAGTGGTTGTCTGAACAGGTAAGCGAATTAAAAAAGTGTCCTGTATTTGCCTTGAAAGGATACAATGCATTTGTTTTTTTCTTTAACAATATCCACCCAGGCCACCCATAGTTACAGTAGATTAAAGAAAAGTAAAACTCTGAAAACCTTTGATGGAGCCTGATAAAATGTTCCTCTGCCATTCTCAGTCCCTTTTTTTCACAGGCCAAAGTAAGAAGCACCCAGTTATCAATATTCATCTTTCTGAACCCAATTTGGAAAATCTTTGTCCAGCGCTAGTCAGCCATTTTTCCCCCCTTCAGAATCCCAGATCTTAGACTTTGTTCCTCCTGGTGGATTATGGGAAGGCACAGCAGAGCAAAAGGGGGGCCTGTCTCGCAGACCACCTGCTTTCCGCTGTTTCGCCGCAACCTCCGGGTCTCTGGGGAGGAGAAACAGGACAGCTCGTTGACAGGATCACGAGCATTGTGGGAAACTCGTACCGCAGGCCCAGAGCAGGAGCAGGGTGGGAGAGGAAAGCAGCATCACCAGCGCTCCCCTTGTCAGAGGAAGATGAAAGCAGGATGGGTGGTGAGGAAGAGGAGGAGGTGCATCAAGGTGCACAGAAGAGGTGGATTGTTGTGCATTTAAGACACTGTTTACTGGAAACTGGTGCAATGTGTGGCATGTAAGAAGAACTTGAATATTTAATGTCAAATAGTTCTTTCTTTTATATTTAAGGGGCTGAAATCAGTTCCCTGCCTGAACTACTGATTGAAAGCATGACAGCCATGCATGTCGGAAAACGATTAGAGCTGTTAATATTGTTTTATCTTGTTTTTTATAACCTTAAATTACACATTCATGCAGCATTCGCAGTTCTCGTCCCCGAACATAAGAGAATGCTTCACCCTGACTGAAAGACTGTACAGAGAGGAGCAGGAGGAGCCGTAGCACAGAGACTACTGTAGGCTCCAGACGCACTTGGCCAGCTTGTCCAGGGTCTGCTGTGTGTCTCTGGTCCTCCTGTCCTGGGGGCCGTACAGCAGGCTCTGGACCTCCAGACACTGGGGGAGACACAGAAAGACAGCCTCACGAGACTCGAGGAACAAGATCAAATCAAATCAAATCAAATCAAAGTTTATTTATCAAATGCACAACAATACAGCGTGCAGCAGTAGTTGCTGGCACTGAAATGTCTTTTCTGCGAGCTCACAAAAATCACAAAATCGAGGTTACAAAAATAAGGTTACTTAAGAATAGATGTAATAGAAATTGAATAAAACTCAATATGAGTAGATCTGCTATGTGCCATTGTGTATGCAATATATACAAGTAGTGCAGTATGCTGAATACAATGAAAACTTAATGTCCATGTAGCCATGCGCTATAATCCACAGCACTTGAAAGACTGAGAGCCCTGTGTCCACACAGCTCCTTCGGCTGCCTGCTTCTGGCTACTGCGTCTCTAGAGAAGAGGCAAGGGAGCTCATTTCTCATTGGGTCGACCTTTTTGGTATGTTTCCTTATGCATGATTACAGAGAGCAGCTGTATTTACACTGCAGCTCCGGTACATATGGAGCCCTTTCACATTCAAACCCCCAGCCTCCACTTTGAGAAGATGTGCTTGCCCCAGAGCAGCAGTGCCTGCTGGTTTGGTCTAGGATGTCACGCAGGTCTGAAAGCAGAAGGCTAATACTGTAGTTCCTGTATAAATACAGGATTACCTATAGCTACTGGAGAATGGAGATTTTTAATACATTAATGAATGAATACATGATGGGATATATTGGCATCTTAATGGAATTCTATATGTTCATAAAACATAATCTGTGCATTTTATTTAAATTGAATAGCCTGAAAGAGCTATTGCTAATCAGCACATCTCACCACTAGCTCTGCAAGAATCGCCAACAGCACCTCGGTGTGCATCTCAGCTGCTGAATTCGTCCAGACAGTTAGAGTGTATGTGTCTTGCTTGAAGAAAACCCAGACTGCCTTCAGAAATCACATGTACTCTGATTCCAAAAGGGCCAGGCAAAGACGTTTACTGTACAGAGTAACAAAGGGCTGCCTGTTTCTTTTAACAATCAGGGGAAATTACAGCATAACACCAGACTTCTAGACCAAGGAAAACTTGTATTCAGAATGTTCCACTTCTGCTGAAGGAAAGAATAAGCGCCTGGAAAATAAATGGGCTTGGCTATTGGTTCATCAGGGTCTGAGAGCTGCCAAGCCTGATGTAATGGAAAGTGGTTTCAAACTGAAAAGCAATACAAATTTTTCACCACTTTCAGGCCACACTTTGGTGCACAGAAGGCCTAAGTGCCACACCTCCCCAGGATAAAACACTCATACAATAAAAACAGGCCCTACTCTTTTCCCTCCCCCGTTGCGCTCTATCACAGCTCACAAACCTTAGCCATAATTACTCGGGAGTCAGTCCAGGTTTCTAAACTGAAGCACAGCTGTTGCCGTGATTACAAGTCACAGAACACGATACCAGCGCTTACCGTTATCTGTCAGGGGCACATTGCGAAGGTTATTGACCTCCGGTAATGCCAAGAGGGTGAGCTGTGATTCAGAGTGGAATGACTGGAGCCCCTGCGCTTGGATACAATAACAAGGCAACATAGCAACGAGCCTCCCTCTCCCTCGGCCAGGTCGGCAGGAGTATCCAGGAATTCCCCATCAATGCGCTGTTAAATCCCACCCTTTTCAAATTTAGAACACATTTAGGAGAACAGAGGAACTTTCTTATGGCCGTTTCTCATGCTAAGAAATTCTCCTTTTCCTATTGCACAGGCTAAAACTCCTTGCTGTAGCATGTAAGCCCAGCAGTGCCTTTCCTGGGAGGACAGGCACCAAGTCCCCACAAGTTGCCTACATTAAGAGATTTAGGCTCCTATACTTCAGACTGCGCGGGGGCTGGTAAATGAAACAGTGCTGCTCCCGTCCTGAGAGATGTGGTAACATGTAAAATTCATCTTCTCCTACCAAGTTAGCATGACTAGCTCATGAACGCTGATTCTGTTTTTAAGGGATTCCTAGTCATCTGTGAATTCTTACACATTTTAAAATAACAAATCAGTAAACACTGGAAAAAATGTAAGACAATTCATTAAGAGCAAGAAAACATTCCTCTTCTATTTTTTCTTCATATGGAAACTATAGGGTTTGTTTATGAAAACTTTCCTTACTCATTAATGTTGGACATTTTGGATCTGTACTACAGGTGAGAACTTTTCTGTGCATCTCAGGTACCTAATGATTAAGGTACTGTCTATTCTCAGAATATAGTCTGAAGCAGATGACACTAAATACTTTTAACAAGTCAGAGATCTCAGTCCTACTCAGAACATTCCTGGCAGGCTGAAGCCCAGACTCCACACAGTGAGTGACAGAACCTTCCTTCTCTTTCCATCTGATCAGTGGGGGTGAAGTGCAATGAGGAGCTGCCTCTTCCTCCTTATTCTATCACCAGATGAAAACAAAACAAACCTGGCTAATGGCAGCTGATGTCATTCAGTATTATATCATAGGGAAATAAAGCTATATTTTTGTGTGGCAATCTGCTACATGATACATGAATGCCCATTATAGCAGAACAAGTCACCAACAGATCTGCAAATATAGCAATGCTTTCCAAAGCACCGATTTATCTTTAGTCCAGTGAGATTCAATGATGAAAAGAAACAGTGCTGATTATTTAAGCATACCTATGCATGCTGTGCATTCTTAAATGTGCAGCTTTCAATAATCCTTCCTACAATTCTTCACAGCTGCAGTACAGAAATGTGGTCCTTGTTTCTTGGTGATACATTTTATTTAATTAAATACTCAGATCCTCTTTGTCTACAAGGATGTTGCCACAACCCATTTCCCTATGATTAATACTTAATCCGATAAACCAGATCAAATTAAGCAAATTTAATTACCAACCTAGAGGAACAGAAACAGTTTTACTTGGGGTAAGAAACTCGATGACTTTATTCTATAAGTCTTTCTAACAAACAGCTGTCCATACAAAGATAACAAGACTTATCTTAAAAATTGCATTATGAAAGGGCTGTGACTGCACACACTCCAACAGGTACCTAGGTATCTGTTGACAGGACATAGGTGCGTGCAGTTCTTGACACCAGGAAACTAATCAGCATGGTTAATGTTGGATTTCATATTATTGACAGTACTCAAGAGCAGGTAAGTGTAAGCAAGACGGAAGAAGCCCACGGTGTAATTGTGTGGTATTTGACAAACTCTTAAATAGCTCCTGAGCCAGAGATCTGGTAAAGTCAGCATCATAAATCAGTGAGCACAGAGGCCCAACACCAGGGTCTGAATTCCTGCCGCCACCTCCTGAACACATAACACTCCTCACAGTGAGACTGCTCTGCGTCCACTCTGTCTCCATTTTATACACACTACACATTCCATCTTCCTGACGACTGCAAGCGACACGCTTGTTCGAAATATCTTCAAGAAAAATAAGCGTCCCCGGATAGATGATGCCCTACTACACTATAAAGATCATCAGCTGAAGCTCCTTGTCGGAGCACAGGAAGGTAAGAGTCCAGAGACACACAAACACCATTATACCAAACACCAACAACCAACACCATGTTTCATTCTAACACATGGGGTGTGTTATTTATTCTGTTATTGATTTACTTTTACCTGCAGTAAAAGTGTTTAAAGAACACCCTTTGCCATCTGTGCACTTCGACTAAGAAATAACTGTTTTTTTTATTGGCAACAGTGATTTTTAAATGCCCTTCCCAGCAGCCTTGTTTTGCCGGTGATCTCCATGACCCCTAAGCTAGCACAGAAGAACCGGGGAGAACGAACACCGTTGCTCAGAACCACAATGGACTTCGTCCGCAGACGAAGCCAGGCAACCCGGCATGGCCAGGTGTCGCTCTCGGGTAACCCCAGCTCCCAGACCCCCGCTGGATTCACACAGCCCCCGCAGAGTTAATCAGTGCTTTAAACAGGCATCAGAACCCACCGACCGTCTTCAGCTGATCTTGTCCAGGACTTGTTGTGGCTCCTCATCACTTCCGTGCCCCCCCACCCCGTGCTTCGTGTGGCGTGCTACTTCACAGCCGGCCCAGCGCCTATTCCTTTGCTTTAAGTAATGTGCCTTTGTCAGGCCGCGAGTGTGACTCCTACCTTCTTCAGCGTTCTGTAAGCTCTTCTGATCTGCCCCTGGGAGACCTCAGCCTCCCCGAGCAGCCAGTACGTCTCTGCCACCTCTGCACTCAGGTGCCCAAAGGTGCTCTCTTTCAGGGGCAGTGATTCCTTCAACATCTTAACTGCACTCTGGAACACAGCGAAAAGTGAAACATGCATCAATCTTATCACAGGACAAGTCTCAGAGCTGAGCTACCAGCCCCGCTGAGAAACAATTTCGAGCCACAGATGAACTCTAAGAAATCCTCCAGGGTGGCTCAGGTGGGAACCAGGGCGATCTGGGACAGTCCCAGTGGTTGTTGTACTGGTAGGGACTGCTGGATCTCCTTCAAAGCTGTCCCGCAGAGTCTCACACAGAAGCGCAGCTGCTGGCGACAGGACTAGGACGCGTCAGGCCGCGAGTTCTGACCTCTCGTTGCCCAGAGATGAGAAGAAAGTGGCAGTAGTCGTCCTGCGCTGAGAGGAGGAGGGAATGCTCAGGTCCCAAGGTCCTCCGATAGCTGCTCAGACTCTGCTCAAAGAAGCGCACTGCACTGTCTGCAGGGAGGCCAAGGAACAAGAGGAGAAAGTGGCAGTTGAGGCACGTTAAGGATACCGGTTATCCTTTCAGTTTATGGTACCTCTATATATTTAAATTAGTATCAACTGCTCTAGTTTCTAGGCAGTACAATCAGTTACTGTTCTTGTACACAAAGCTGGTGGCTTTCTCATAATACGGCACTTATTATTTGCACAATCCTAAATTTGCTCACCCAAATGAGGTAAAACTTTCAAAGATCACCGCAGGTCTTCCAGATCACTGGGAAGATCTGGATTCTCTCTAGGAAGAATGCCCTCAGGTATCTTACAAACATGTTCCCCCTGAAACACTTTCCATTGATTATTTTACAATATCATTAATTTACTGTATTATTTTCTGCACCACTAGTCAGTTAATAAACTTTACTATGTCTTTATGATTTAAAGTCAAAATGTTTCAATTCACTTTGTGTCCAGACTGGCAGAAAAGCATTTCCTGGACTCTGATATGGTCTTCAAAGTACACAATTTAATATTTTAAATGAGTGCAAAAACCTTGCAAACTTCATCTGCTTCCCCCTCTCCGGAAATACGACACCCTGCAACACAACAGCGTGTGCAGTAGCAGATCTGTGGTCCGAATTTCGGGCTGTGCTTTTAAGGGGGCGATCAAAGTGTGTGTTAACACACTGGGGCCCGAGAAGTCCAGCTGGAAAGGACATGTTGCATTCCTTCCCTGATTAAACACGGCCAATCCGCTCCGCAGAACCAGTCCCTGCGTTGGCGTGGGAAGGCTCACCGCTGTGCTCACTCTCCCCAGTCCTGGAGTAAGCCAAAGCCAAGCTGTGAGCAGCACCAGCCTCTTCCACGCTCCCCGGACACACACTCAGAGACACGGAATGAGCCTGCGAAAGAGTCCCACAAGACACGGCCAGTGAGGCACCACGAGCCCATTAACAGAAAACAAACACTGCAGAAGCAGCTGGGCTTCCTAGTTCACTTACAGTCCTGCTGAATGCATTGGTGTCTCCTAAAGTTGTTCCTTATATTTTTCCCCCCTAAAGCAGGAGAACACCCACAGTAGCTAAGACATCCTTCTAAACTCCCGAAGAATATGCAATAACCCATTCTGCAAAACAGTCAACTTCCCGTGCACTCTTACGAAATAAAAGGATGTTTCGTTTCGATTTTTGGAACACACCATCTGCCATGTGACTCTGCAAGATCACTGCAGGCTCTTGTGTCCAGTGTCCAGTCCTGGTGCTGGAGGGCCAGTGTGTCTGCAAGTCTTCATTCCAGTTCAGCTCATTATTACCTTAATAGGACCAGTTATCAGCTTCTCTCAGCTCCTTAGGTGCTGCTGCTTTAAAGAGACCCCCCCAGGACCAGGACTGAACATCCCTGACATACAGTACTTCATGTGACACGTTATTCTCCTTAAAGACAAGCTATGACATCACTAAAGGTCAAACCAGGGGGGTCAGTCTCTATTAGTGGAGTATACATTCAACATCAAGAGTGGGCCAACAACTGACGGGTGACATTTAAAACTGATGGGAAACAGAGAAAGGAATCTAGAGCTGCAATGGACAGACCCTCATTCTGCCATGAGATTAGATGCACTGGAAGGGTCTTAATCGGCCCGGCTGCAGCAGATGTTTTAATAACTGAAGATCTCTCTAAATGCCGACTGGACCGGAAGGCAGCAAGGCCGCCGGACCCGGGGAGCAGGCAATTACAGCGCAGATGCTATGCCAATATCTTGCCTGCAGGAGGTGCTGTATGGCTCCATCCACGTTCCCTCCCGCCTGCTCGATGGCCGCCATCTCCCTGTAGACTGAGCACGCCTCCCAGCTGGCCTCCCTCCCCGCTGCCTGCAGCACCCGCAGCGCCCGCTGACACTGGCAGAGCGCTGCCGCCGGCTGCCCCTGCTTCCGCTGCAGCCTGCGGGCACAGACAGGAGAGCACTTCGCTGCAGCCTGCGGGCACAGACAGGAGAGCACCTCGCTGCAGCCTGCGGGCACAGACAGGAGAGCACCT